GATGTATGTTTAAAAGTAGCCACACCTCGGAAATATTTAAGACTCTGCCCCCATGAACATCAATTAAGCCTGATAATCGATTACAGCTTCCAGCGGCCACAATCCCCTTATAGATCCATAATAGGAAAATAAATTGCCTTACTGTTACATTACACTGAAAGAAAATTGAAACTGAATTTACAACAATTTCCAGGGAGTGAATCAATGTTCCACAGCCAGTACAAGGCATTTTCTTCCCAAAAGAAGGCCCTTCACCCCAGTTAGATAATTAACAGCTAATCAGTTCCCAGCTGTGTGTCATCATGCCTGGAAAAACCCAGTGCGTTTGGGAGTCCTGAGACTCTTCCCCTCACTTTTCTTGTTCCTAAAAATCATGACAGCAAGTGCAGCATCGAGGAACGTGACGGATCTGAAATTAATCTGATGTGAATCCAGCGCAGACGTTTTCATTTTGTGCTCACCTCTGATTCCACAGGGCCTGATTATTCACTAGCTTTAAAACCCCTTTCATTATTTAGAAATGACAGAGTGGATTAAAGAAAACACTGTGAAAGGGACAATTATGGGAATAGCATGCAAGTTTTAATGAACAGTTTCCAAATCAGCACCTCACCTGTGATAAGGCGTTTTCTTCATCGCTCATGGAAATACACAGCGTCATCATCATCTTAATGAAAAGGCCAAAAACACATTTTAATTTCAGCCAACCTCACCTGCTTAATTATTAAATGCAGGGGTACTTGTAAAAGCACTTAAATTAAGTCATTATTCTGGATGAGAAATGTTCCTTATTTTTAGTTCTCAAAATGTGAAGGAACTAATCCTCATTCTCAAATAACTTACTATGTCTGACGTCGTGAATGAAGTAAAGAAATGCATGAATTTATCTTATTCTGTTTCACCATTCATGTTTCTTTCACTCTCAAATTTAGAATTGTGACCAGGTTTATAATTGTTTTATTATTTTTATTTTAAACTTCTAAACTAAAATATTTACTCCTAAATACATACCAGATATATATCTAAACAATCATGTATTGGTATGTAGAAGTGTATAATAAATAACTACAAATAACAAGGTCTTTGAGAAAAAAATCTACAAAAAGTAGATATCCAAATGTGACTTAAAACTCATCATAGCTTTTTGAAAACCTCCAAAATCCCTCACAGTCGTCGTTCTCCTCGGGTTGCTGCTTTTAATTACGCAGAGGGTGGCGATTTGAATGGCCACCACATTTCAGTCACAACACAGACAGCCACGGTTCATGGAGAGGTGTCTCAGTGATGTGTGAATTAAAAAAGGAAACAAAATACCTAGTGGAAAGGAAGGCATCCGAGAAGTTGGCCAGTGCTTAGAGGTGGAAATGAGACATTGCTGGTCGGCCCTCACGCGGGCTTGGAGTTCAACTTTGCTTTGTGTAGAATGAGAGTCTCCAAGCTGATAAAATAGCATCAAGTGATTCTCCGGCCAGTGGCAGCTGCGGGGGCTACCTGACAGAAATAAATGTAAAAATCACCCTAAATATCTCATATTTTGGATGCTCTTATAAATGATATATTTTTCAAAAAAATTTCAATTTCCAGTCACTTGTTGCTATTATGTAGAAATTCAACTTATTTTTAGGCATTGGCTGCCTGTCCTGGAAACTTGCTAAACTGATGTACTTATCTTAGTAGCTTTTCCGTGAATTCCCTGCGATTCTCTGCACAGACAAGCATGTCTTCTGAATGGAGGCAGCTGTGGGTCTTCTTCTCCCGGCCTCATTGCTCCGGCAGGACGCCCCGTGCGAGGCTCCTGGGAGGGAGACGCGTTGCAGGGAGCCCGGCCATCCCATGCAACGCAGGGCGCTGGCTCTGGGGTTTTCATCAGGCCCTGGAGGAGCGTGAGGAAGTTCCCTCGTTCTAGTACACGTTTGCTAGCGCTTGTTTGTTTTTTGAGTCAGTGTTTGATTTTGCCAGACGTGTTTTCTGCATGGACTGAGGTGGTCATGGGTTTCTCTTTCTACGCCTGTAAACAGGACAAATCCATCAGCGACACCTGAATGTTAAACCAAGCGAGGAGCTTCTGTTCCCTGCTGGATGGAAACCGCACGGCTATGAGCCCAGCATCTGTGTTCACGAAGGCTGCTGTGCAGCCGCTCTCGCCTCTGCGTTTGGTATCAGGGTGAGGCTGGCTGGATTGTGTGAGCTGGGGGTGGTCCTTCGCCTTGAGTTTTGTGAAGGAATGTGTGGGGCATGGGCGTCATTTCGTTCCTATCTTGGCAGGAGTCACAGCAGAGCCTGGAGGGCTCAGTTTCTTTATGGAAACCCTCCCCAACCCCGGACGCTTTCCAGCTGGGCCTCGGCCCACCATGGCCATGGCTCCGGCCTCCCCAGTGTCCTCCTGAAACTCCCTCTGAGTGTGTGTGGACGCCGACAGCGCCTCATCTGTCCGGACACCAGGGCCCTGTGTGTCCTGTCCCGAATCTCCCCAGCCCGCAGCCCTGCTCCCCGGCGCTGGAAGGCAGTTCAGGGCTGTCTTGCCCTTTCCTGGAGGTGGCTGTGGAAGGTCCCAAGTAACTGTTCTCAGCCCTGCGGCCGGTCGGGCCCTTCCTCTGCTGTCTCAGGTAGGAACGGGAGGCAGGGAAGACCCAGGGTCTCCAAATGGCTGTTAGGTCCTCCGAGGGCCCAATGCTGGGCTCACGAACCTGACCTCTGGGGCATGGCCTTTCTCCGTGTGCTCTGGGCTGTCTCGAGTGGGAGTGGTCACTCTGCCTGAGCAACAGCATATGGTGCTTATCCAGGTGTGCACAGAGGCCAAGTGCTCCCTGGCAGGTGGTCCCAGGAGCCCCCGACTATGTCAGGATGCAGAGGTGGATGTGGCTCCCGTCCCTAAACTGAGGCTGCCAGCTCCACCCTCTTCCTTGTACAGTGGATCAGGGCACCTGCCTAATCCATCCCAGTCATGGCCTGGAGAATGAGACCACATCTGGTCATCACATGCAGCTCAGTCTGTAGGTCACCAGACAGCCTACAGCCAGCATCGAGGTTGAGGGGGCCCAGGGGGTCACGGTGGCTGACACAGGACAGGCGGCATCCGCCCCAAAAGGCAACCCTGCCTCTGGGCTTGCCGAATTCGTGTGGGGCTGGTGAGACCCCCAGAGGTTCCCCACAGAGCCCCAGTCACAGAGATACATCAGCCAGCACCTTCCGACCTCCTGGGCCCCACAGGCTAAGGGGGACAGCAGGCAGCCTGCAGCCACAGGACAGCCCTGGGTGAAGCTGGGCATCCACAAATCACCGGACAAAGGGTAGAAGTGACCCCGAGTGCAGTGTGCACACCAGGGTCCAGGGTCCTGCTAAGGCTGCTGTGTTTCCTCTGCAGCGACGTAAACACGATGACGCGCTGGGCTCAGTGGGAGGCTGCCGCCCTCCCGTGTCCGAGACCACAAGACTCCAAAGGCCCCGTGTGTCCTCCTCGGGCCTTGGGGAACTTGGCAGGGCTGCCCACTGGCTCCATCAGCACGAAGACTTCAGAATTACCAACTTTTGAAGAATTGCTCAACTTTGAGAACAACCGAGGTCCCTGTGCACGGCTCTGTGGATGTGAGTTGGTCCTGCGACAGGCAACAACGCGTTTGCAGGTGAGGGGAGGCCAGCAAGAGCAGGAGTGGCGTCATCGGTCCAGTTACAGAACAGAATCACAGGACAAGATCCGGTAGACCCTGTGTTTGCCAGCAGACACTCGCTCTCTTCCACAACCTGAGCAGGGGAGAGCCGAGGGGTGTGGAAGGGACCCCACCTGCACTCACTCCCAGGCCCATGGCCAGTTCCTCTTTCTGCTTCAGGAAAACATCCTTTTCCCCTGGAACCCAGTGTTTGATTCACCGACCTGCTTGGAAAGCAGCCTGGAGACGGCCGTCTTCCTGCTGGGACACCGGGCACTCAGGGCTTCTGTTTTCCTTCCTGTGGACATCATCATAGACACGACCTCACACTGTCTGTTTATCCCAATGTAAGCTCTTCAGAACAACAGTCTTCACATCGGCACTGGTTATGAGCGACAGGGGAGGGAGCAAAGCCTCCTCCTCCAACCCATCTTTTCGCATCATTTTTCATCCACGGAGAAACCCCAGCCATCCCCACCCCCAGGAATGTAAGGACAGAAACTGAAGGCCTCATCATTCTGCCTCTGGTCTTCCTGTTAATAAAAAATAAGTCTGTGTTAATTAGATTTGGAAGATGAGTTTTCCACCCAGGCACTTTTCCCTGAATTATCTTCGTCCACACGAGCGATTCTTTCCAGGGCTGGAGCTCATGGCTGGGCTGTGGCCTGTGCCATCCCATGGAGGTTAGAAGGTGGGCAGAGATGTGCCCGGCTTCCTGCAAGACGTCTCATTATAATGCCACCCCAGGCAGTAATTTGATCTTTTTTTTTTCTTTTAAAAGATGAAATTCCCCTTTTATCCCTTTGGTTATAGCTCCTCTGCTTGTTAAACCTTAAGGAAAAGGCTAAAACCTTTTGCCACTATTGTACTGTCAGTATGTATTTCAAAAAGAAAAATAACAATATACCTATTGCATTAAAAATGTTCTGATCTGATTGTAGCTACAAGGTAACAGATATGAAAGAATCTAGTGCTCTCCCCTATGACAATTATAAATGCTGCATTTTCCTTATTCCAGGAAATGTTAACGAAATTTGGGAACACTAAATTAATATAATTTGCCCAAAGGTGCTTATGTCTGTCTGGAGGACTGGATAAGTTCGTTGTAGTGTAGATAATGCATATCATACAAATCGTGTTCAGAAACCCCTGCTAAAACTAGTCTTATTGTTTTGTGATCACATTATATGAAGGAGTAAATGCTGTATCAGAGATTCCGGGAATAAAACTTGATTATTAAAAACACCCTACATAACCCCTCAGTGTCCAAGGGACATAAAAGGTAATGTCAGGGGTACCTGTATATCAACATAAATGTGATTTTCAGATAAGTAATTACAGCATAGTCCACAGTAATATCTGACATTTTTATTGCTTGAATATTTTTGTAATAAGGAAAAAAAATTCAGTACAAATTTGTGGTATTTTTACACTAGATTGAAATTAGCATTTTCTAAATATTTGAATTTTCCTATCGGTTGATTTTATCCATTATCCTCTTCTAAAGTATCAATCCAGTGGATTTTCTAGGATTTGAATTTAGCAACAATTGTATATGTATTTTCACTACGTAGAATCTTGTGTGCACCTGCAGTATGTCAGGTCACTTTAGGCAGGCATGTAGTTACAGTATTAGTCACTATGGGGTTATTTGATGACCTCGCCGACGCCGTAACACAAGTTGACCTGTGTCTGTTTTCAAGGAAAATGTGCATGCTTCCTGACACTCGGCCTCATCAGCTCCGTGGGGGTCAGTCCTGCCAGGACCCCTGCTGCTGGCTTCATCCTTCTCTTTGGAAGAATTCTCTTTTTCCCAGTGGAACACTCTGCTTTCAGCCACACTTCGGGCCACTGGAAACCCCAACTCTCTCCAGCCCCACACAGGTCTTTGAGAATAAGGAAAGATGAGCGTGGCCAAGTCGCCATCAGGTGAAGGACTGAGTCTTGTGCACCCTCCTTGGCCTTCCCTGGTGTCGCTGTTCAGCAGGGAATGTTCCGGAGCGAGGAAGTCAGAGCAGCCAGTGCCTCCAGCAAGTGCAGCCAGGCGAGAGACACTCACTGTTGTCATCACCATAAACACAACAGTGCACAGTTCTAAATTTAAAACCAGAGAGCCTACTGTGGTTTGAATGTGTGACCCTTCAAGTCCACGTTGAAACTGAATCCCACTGTGGTGGCGTGAGGACATGGGGCCTTTGGGAAGTGAAGGGATGAGTGCCTTGTGCAGGGGCTGGCAGAAGGCGGTTAAGGCTGCCACAGGCCCTCCCCCACCCTCCCCGTGAGGACCAGGCACCTGCCCCAAGGCCACCTTGGATATAGACAGCAGCCTTCACTAGACACTGACCCTGCCAGCGCCTTGATCTTGGACTCCCAGCCTTCAGTACTGTGAAAAATAAATTTATATTGTTTATAAGTTATTTTCTATTACTTGTGAATTACCCAGTCTGTGGTATTTTGTTACAGCAGCACAGATGGACGGAGACACACTCATATTCACCTCAAGCTTAGCAATTGGACTGGTGCTCCTTCTCACTTCTTAGTCACCTTTTTCCCAACAGAGTCATCCTATTTCATCTCTGTATTTTATTTCTGTATAGAAGAACCTGAAAACAATGTCTTTGCTGACATGAACTATGTTATATTTCTTCATGAAAGTTAATATTCTCCACATTCCAAGCCAAGACTGAAAAAGTCACAATTGCCAGGCTTGGTAGTTCATGCCTGTAATCTCAGCCCTTTGGGATGCTGAGGCAAGAGGATCACTTAAGACCAGGAGTTCAACACCAGCCTGGGCAACATAGTGAGACTTTGTCTTTACAGTTTTTTTGTTTTCAATTAGCCGGGTGTGGTGGTGCACACTTGTAGTCCCAGCTATTCAGGGGGCTGAGGTGGAAGGATCATTTGAGCCCAGGAGGTCGAGGCTGCAGTGAGCCATGATTGTGTCACTGCACTCCAGCCTGGGAGAGAGTGAGAGTTCATTCCTCCACCAAAAAAAAAAAAGAAAAAAAAAGAAAAAAAAAGTCACAATATGAAGCCTGACAGATAGGAAAGTCATTGTTTAGGTCAGTAAGTTAAAGCCCTAAATGCTTCCAGATGGAATAGAGTTTGATGAAGTGTCAAGGTTTACAGAGACAGGCCAAAGCCAGTCTGAGGAAATCCTATACAAGTGACCACTGAGAAGCAGGGGAACGGGACCAGTTTGATTGCAAACAGTCAAAGGAGGGTGAGCCACCAATTCACCTTTCTGCTCCAATGTCTCCTATGCTCAAGACTCAAGTTTTTATGACCATTGGCTAGACAGGTCTGCATACACTGCATATGTAAATTTCACTGCAAACTCAAATAAACTGAAATCAAAACCTACTGCTCTCCTCCTAGAACTTATATGCAAGACAGCAAACAGCAAAAAGACTCTGGTCACTCAATGTCACCATCATTTCCAAGCTGCTCTGGCTCTAGGAAACCCTCACGGTGACAGCTACACTTAGCGAATCTCGTGAGACAAAATTCCAGCCTCCCCATTTCACTCCTGCGTGAACTGCATTCAGGCCACACTATCCGTGCTCAGTCTGTGCCTGGCCCCTAAGACCAGCCTTTCTCCCGCCACGGGCTGACCAGAACCGCCCACGGCTTTCCTAAGCACAGTTCTGAAAGGCACCACACATTAAAAAAGCAAAACAAAACAAAACTTCCTTCTTCTGCAAAACAAAAACCAACCTCATACCCTGGCCAATAAGACCTCCACAATTTATAAACAGGTTCCTCAAGACATATTTTCCAAGAATATTTTCAATTTTCTGCACAGAAAACACTTTGACTCTTGCCCTTCATTATCAGTGACCAGAATGTTCAAGTGTTTGGCATTTGTTCACGTCTTCCCCCTCTCACATCTTTCAAGTTTTAAAATTCCCGTGCACGATTCCAGGCCACGCCTGAAGGTGCTCCCCCTCCAAGCCGTCCCTGTGTCGTCTCCACCCTGGCTTCCTCCCTGACACCTGCCATGTGCAGACGCCCTTGCACTAGGCCCCAGTGTCTGCCTTCATCCCCAGCGAGCCTCTGAACTCAAGAGCAGGGTGCAGGTCGCTTTTGGCAGGGGTCCTATTAGACACCTGGAGTGCAGTTCACCTCATAATTCATACCCCTGGGAACCCCTTGAGGGCCATGGGCACCTTCATCCAGGAATACTTACAGGGGAGTTTAGGGAGAAACTGTAGAAAGTACCTAAGAGAGCTCCATTTTGTTTTAAAGCCAGATGGTCAGTTTGCAAGGTGCTCAGCACAGCACTGTTTGGGTGACCAAGACAGCTCTCATTTCCAGTGCCCTTGGAGTCTTGCTTTAGTTCCAAACTATATGCTTCATCAAGCTGTGAAATAAACGTAAAAGAGAAGACACCTGAAACTTCTTAAACTAACAAAAATTTGAATTCAGAATGTGTAAAGAATACCTACAAATCAATAAAAGATGAAATAAAAAGTGATGCAAAGTGGGCAAGAATCGCAAACTGTCACTCCAGAGACCAAAATTCACGTGAATCATTAAGAATCAGAAACTGTAAATGAAAACCTTGATGAGATGCCTTTTATACCTAACACTGCAACACCGGAAGGTCTGCCGATGCCAGGCAGTGTTGAACAGATGGTGCGAGGGGCAGCCCAGGTGGGTGAGCCAGCATGATGCAGCCACCTCGGAGGCTGTTTGGAATTGCCTGGAAATGAGTGGGACGGGCCAGGCAGTGACCAGCAATGATCAATCCACGCCTGGGCGTGAGCTCCGGCACGTTCTCTGCAGAGCGTGGCCATCTCTTCTCAGACAGGATCCACCTCTGCCATGCTCTGGCCCAGGGAGGTGGTCTCCGGGGCCCATCACCTTAGCTTCTTGGCTGCTGGACCCCAGGCCCATTGGAAGGGAGGCTGGTGGGCGGGAAGCAGCCAGGGGGGAATGGCGTGGATGCTGCCCTACCCTACAGCCACATCCTTCCAGTCACTTTGCTACTGGGGTCAACACGTACAAAAGGGGAACCTGGTTGAGTTCTCAGGTCACGTCGACAGCACCTTCTGTTCTAGTATAAATAGGTGCTGAGAACTGGATGGTACCTACTTAAAAAGGAGGACTGTTTATCTGAAGTTTAAATTTAGGTGGGTGTCCTCTATTTATATTTGGTAAATCCAGCAATCCTGGCTGCTACCCGTTCTCTGAACTCCCAGAACAAATCGTTTCTTACCTGATATTCTAGTCGCTTACACGAATTCTGTCACAGGCAAGCAATTTAAGTCCCATCTTTGACCGTTACAGAGGCGGAGAAGATGAGTCTACAGGGACATATTGCCTTCCTCAAGTTCTTTTTTTCTGTGCTTAGTCACTGTGCAGGGCAAAACCGCTTTGGAAGAGAGCGTGTGTTGAGTCCACCTTTCACAAAAGATAAATGGACACATAACTGATGGAAGAATCCATTTTTATAAAAATAATACAGGGCTTTAAAATCAAAGTGAAGCTTTGGAAACCCTCATTGTCACTTGCAACTGAGGCTTTCAGCAAGAGACTGAAAGTATAATGTGGTATTTACATTTTGGGCTTGCTTGAGAGAAGTTAACAAAATAACCACAAATAAGAACCTATCACATCTCAGAGCTAATAATGGCTAATAGAATAAATGAAATATTATACTTAATATGGCAACGAGTACAGATGCATTTGAAAGCGCTGATATCATGCAGATGATGCTCTTGGACCACAATGGATTTAAATTGGAAATTAACAACAGAAGGAAATTTGAGAAATCCAAAAGTATTTATAAATTGAACAACACATTTCTAAATAATTCATGAGCCAAAAGAGAAATTACAAGGGAAATTAGAAAGTATGCTTTTCTAAATGACAATAAAATCAAAACATCAAAAGTTATGGGACAAAGCTAAAGCAGTGCCTAGAGGAAAATTTATAGCTTTAAATGCCTCTGTGAAAAGATAACGAAGATCTCAAGTCAATAATCTAAGCTTCTGCAGTGAAAATCTAGACAAAGAAAAGCAAATTAAACTGAAGGCAAGTCAATAAAAGAAACACTAAAGATTAAAGGAGAATTAATGAAATAGAAAAATAGAGAAAATTTGAGGGAACCAAAAGTTCATACTTTGAAAAGATCAACAACATTGATAAGCCTTTAGCTTGAAGAAAAAAATAAGACAGGCCAGGCATGGTGGCTCATGACCGTAATCCCAGCACTTTGGGAGGCTGAGGCGGGCAGATCCCGAGGTGAGGAGTTCGAGACCAGCCTGACCAACATGGTGAAACCCTGTCTCTACTAAAAATACAAAAAAATTAGCTGGGCATGGTGGTGTGCACCTGTAATCCCAGCTACTCAGGAGGCTAAGGCAGGAGAATCGCTTGAACCCAGGAGGCAGAGGTTGCAGTAAGCCGAGATTGTGCCACTGTGCTCCAACCTGGGCGACAGGGCAAGACTGTCAAAAAAGAAAAAAAAAAAAAAAAAAAAAGACTGAGAAAAGAAGACACAGATAGTGAAATTTATGAATGTAAGAGGAGACATTACCAGTGACTCCTCTGAAATTAAAAGTTACAAAAATATTCTCTGAACAACATTTTGGGAATAAATTCTATGACATCGATGTAGTTGTCAAATTCCTAGAAAGGAACAAATTAGCAAAATGACTCCAGATATAATAGAAAATCTGAATAAATGTATGGCAAGTAAAGAAGTTGAATGAAGAATTAAAAATCTTCAGACAAAGAAAAATTCAGGCTCAGATGGTCTCACCCAGATAGTAATTTTTTATCAAATATTTAAACATGTAATATCAATATCTCACAAACTCTGCCATTAAATAGAGGAGAAAAGAATGATTAACAACTCATTCTATGATTCAATGAGACAAGAGAGTGTGTGTTGGGCCCACCTTTCACAAAAGACAGATAGACACATAACTGCTGAACGAATTCATTGCATTTTTAAAAAAGTAATACAAGGCTTTAAAATCAAATTAAAGGCTCGGAAATCCTCATTGTTGCTTGCAACTGAGAATTTTAGCAAGAGACTGAAAGTGTACTGTGCTGTTTACCTGTCTATCACCCTGACAGAAAAG